ACCCGTGGGAACCGGGCTGGGGGCTGGTCCTTGTTGGGAATCCCCTATGGGGCGGGGGAGACACGACCCTGCCTACAAAGATGGGGCTGGGGGGGTCCCTATAAGGGCCCTTTGAGGGAATCCTGTCCTGCTGTAGGGAGGCCCCTATAGGGGATGTGGGTTGTGGCCACCAAGTCCAGTGCTGACATCACGGAATCCTTGGGTGCCATGTGGGTGCTGCCCCCAGCACTGACCCCTCTCCCACCACCCACCCCAGGCATCTACGTCTGCGCCAAGTGTGGCCACGAGCTGTTCTCCAGCCGATCCAAGTATGAGCACTCATCCCCGTGGCCAGCCTTCACTGAGACCATCCATGAGGACAGCGTGGCCAAGCGCCTGGAGCGGCCGGGGGCTTTAAAGGTGCCAACTCGGAAACCTTGGGAGCAGCAAAACAACCCCATGGGCTGTGGTTCTTCTCAGTTCTCTGCTAAGACCCCTTGTTGGATGCCAGAGAGGGGCTCTTCATCAGGGACTGGAGCGATAGGACAAGGGCTGGTGGGTTCAAACTGAAACAGGGGAAGTTCAGGTTAGACATGAGGCAGAAGCTCTTCCCTGTGAGGGTGCTGAGGCGCTGGCACAGGGGGCCCAGAGAAGCTGTGGCTGGCCCCTCGTTCAAGGCCAGGTTGGACACAGGGGCTTGGAGCAACCTGCTCTAGTGGAAGGTGTCCCTGCCCGTGGCAGGGGTTGGAGCTGGGTGAACTTTAAGGTCCCTTCAGCCCAAACCATTCCATGATTCTCTCATTTCTAGGTGTCTTGTGGCAAGTGCGGCAATGGACTTGGCCACGAGTTCCTCAATGATGGGCCGAAGAGGGGCCAATCCCGCTTCTGAATATTCAGCAGCTCGCTGAGGTTCATCTCGAGAGGTACGGGCTGTGGTCTGGCAGCTCTTCCAGCCCCTGCAGTTAGTTTGGGGCTGCTGCTGGTAGCCACACGCTGTGTGCGCTGCGTTGCTTGCGGCGCCCTGGAGCTGGTTGGTCAGATAAGCCGCTTCCATCCTATATAAATCTCACATGCTTCACTCTGCTCAGCTGGGGCTCCCGCTGTGAAATAGGGAGTGTGAGGGACCCTCTGGCTGGGGCCGTGGGTCTCCCGGTGCCCGAGGGGCCGCTCAGCACTGGGGGTTCTGCTGGTGGTGCACAGCAAGGGCAGGGAGCTCCTGTGGTGGCTTAAATGGATCTGGGAGAACTTGCTGGCTCATTCCCTGGGGAAGCGGAGCGGGAGCCCTGAATGTGGCTCTGTGGGGAAGGGCTGTTGCTGTCGTGGTGACCCTGCTCTTGGCTCCCCTAAGTTGGAAAAAGGCTTTGGGAGGCCAAGTTCAGGGCAGCCCCGCAGCCGTGACTTGCTTCCCACTTGCTGGATGTGAGACTTTGGGTGCATGTAGTGAAATAACCACATGTAAAGGGACTGGTGGCTCTGGGCTGGGAAGGATGAGCCCTGATTTTTCTTCCCTCTCTTCCAGGCAAAGCAGACAAGGACCTGAAGGAGAAGTAAGCATGCTGCTCTACCTGGCACACTGCCTTTGGGCTCATCCTGCATTCACACCTTGGGGCCTTGGGGCACTGTCAGCAAGAGAAACCCCAAAGAAGCTCCTGGTGTCCCTGGGGCTGGTTCCTTCTCTGTGCTGCTCTGATTCGGGGTGCTGGGAGGAGCAGGGGGTGGATGGGAAATGGGGGTGCTGGAGCTCTGTGCTTTGTGGGTGGGTTGTATGAGCTGCACCCGAGGGTGTTTCACACGACTTGGGGTGGTGCAAAGGCTACAGCTCTTCACTGTAGCCACCCTTACCCCCCTCTCTGTTCTCCCCAGCATCCCAGCCTCTGCCTGTAGCAGCTACTACCGAGTCCTTTAGAGCAGCTCATGTGCCTGACGTGGCACTGATGCAACCCAGAGCTACTGCTCTGGCATTTCCAGGGAGTAACTCTGGATTAGCTGAGGTCAAAGTCTGGGTTAATCTCTGGTGCTATTCTAGGCTGGGATCATGGTATGAACTGCCCTATATAAACCCTCCCAGGGTGCTAGGGTGAGGATGGGTTTATGATCCCACTAGACGTCAGCCAGGTATTTTATCCCCCATCTTGCACACAGTTCAGGACCTCCCATGTCCTCTGGGCTCGATTCTCACTTGGCCTTACACAGATTTATCACTGTGCTCTGAACTCCAGTGGTACCAATGGTTCCTCAGTGCAAGGGAGGGCAGAATCAGGCTCACAGGCTGCACTTTGCACAGCTCAGGCTTTAGGGATCACAGCTCGGAAGGGCTGTGTTGCTGATGGCTCCTTAACTTGGCATCGTGGCCTTCCCTCCCTGTCCCCCAAACCAAATCCTCTGTAGTTACACACAAGGAGTTCTGAAGGTGGCAAAACCCTTTGCTGACCTCAGGTCTGGTGGTGCAGCTCCAGTGCACCACATGGGTGGTTTGGGGAGGCCTCGCTGCTGGTGCTGTTAGGGTGCTGCTGTGCTCAGCTTTTCTCTACGTGGGTTTTTGCCTCAATCCCAGCATTATGAGGGCACTGATACAAAGTGCAAGGCACCAGCTTGTTGCCTGGAGCTCACTGCTGGTCTTGTACCTCTTCCTGTACTGAAAATAAAGCACTGAGTCACTGTGTTGGAGAAATAACCTCTTCTCTTAGAGCGGCGATGGCACCATGGAGCATCTGCCAGGGGATTCCTTCGCTGCTTGGTTTGCCTGGTGCTGGTTGCAGTGATGGGGAGGCTGCACCAGTGGTGGGCTCTGTGTGAGGCAGGCACAGATGCAGGCACAAAGCTCTGGGCAGGTTTCCTCTGGAGTGTCCAGCCTGCAGGGTTAGCTTGAGGTTCGTGTGTGTGGTTTAATCCTGTATCTGTTGCCGTTACCCCAGCTTTGCTGTGTGGAAGGGGGATGCTGATGTTGGAGCCTTTGGGCAACCCCAGCGTCAAAACCTTCACTGGGGAAGGTTTCCTTTTCACTCCACTTATCATTTGTGCCCAACTGAAGCTGGTTTTAGCTTTCACAGTGTGTTGTGGTACCTGCTGGGCTGGCAGGGTTCTGTGGGCAGAAGGGGTCTGAGTTTCAACAGTGTCTCACGATGGTTTCCCCACACAAAGCTGCAAGAGTGGAAGATCTCTTAACCCCATCAGAGCAGGATACTGGGTCTATGGAAGCTGGAGACTTGAGCTGGGCTTTGCTGGACCCCAGTTCTAAGGGGGTGAAGTCCACTGTGGAGCAGAGGAACCAGCGCCACATCTCCCTCCTGCCCCATCGCTGGCTCGTGCCCCACAGCATCACCCTCACCACCTTCCCCATCCCCATCCAGCTGTAATTACTAATCAAGGCCCAGCCTAAAAGTTGCTTCAAGCTGCTTTTCAGTCAATTAATCCTCTTATCTGCTGCTTTGTCCCTGCTCTGGTGACCCCCGTACGAGCCCCATGGGGCAGAAGCTGCCCCTTGGCTTCCCACTGGGGACCACTGAGGAGAGATCCATCCCTGTGAATCCTGCCCTCACCGGCACCGCTGGGAATGGAGGTATTTTGGGGATGGTTTCCCTTGGGATGCTGCAGTAGAAGGAAGCCATTGGTTGGGAATCACCACTTGCAGGCGCAGTGGTGATTCCTGCCACCCGTGGCTGCCCAGCACCGTGTCCCATGGGAACACGACCGTGTTTCCACGCTGCCTTGCAGTTCGTGGCCGCAGGCACGGGAGGGTGCAAGTGCTTTTCCTAACCCTTCCCCAGGCGCTGCAGGGAGGGAGGGATGCTGCTGGTGTGGGCACCGCATCCTCGAAACGGGAAACAACCTCAGGATGGTTTAAATAGGGATGGGACATTTTCCTGGAAATCCACCCAGGATTTCATGTTAAAGACCTGAGGCTGGAGACTCTGGGCAGTGCCTGGTGCTGAGGATTCAGGATGTGACCCTGCAGGTCAGATCCCATCCCAGCCCTTCCCAGCTCCACCATCCCCAGCATTGTCAGCATCAGGTCCTTCATCCTTCCTGGACCACTGCAGCACTGGGCATCCCCATCACCTCCACCAGCCTGTGGCCAGTCCTTCCCCCCCACCATTCATCCTCATTTCATCATTCCCCTAATGACAATTTGGGTTGAACCAGAGGATTTTGCTTAGTTGGGCAAATGCAGCCCCGTAGCAGCGCTGTGGTTTAATGACAGAAATTGGATTATGTTCCCAGGCCGCCACACACTTCCCTGCTTGTTCAGAAGCTCATTCATTTCCTCCGCCATAGCCTCCAGCTGACCTCCCCTTTTAATTCCTTAATTTTCTTATCCGCATGCCATGGAGAGGAGCTGCCTCTTTGACCCTCCTCGGGATGGCTCCAGTGGCGGCAGAGCACAGCGGGGCTGAGATTAATTCTCCTAATAAAGATGACAAGCCCCAGAGAAATGATGTTATGCAAGGAAAGAGAGAACGACCTGGAGGCATCGGGAAGCTCTAATTGCTGTGATTCCTTGGAGCCAGCGCAGCGGGAGCGAGCTGCAGCGGCTGCTTTCACCTGGAATCACAGAACCATGGAATGGTTTGTGTTGGAAGGGACCTTAAAGCTCCTCCAGCCCCAACCCCTGCCCCGGGCAGGGACACCTTCCACTAGAGCAGGTTGCTCCAAGCCCCTGTGTCCAACCTGGCCTTGAACACTGCCAGGGATGGGGCAGCCACAGCTTCTCTGGGCACCCTGTGCCAGCGCCTCAGCACCCTCCCAGGGAAGAGCTGCTGCCTCAGAGCTCATCTCAGTCTCCCCTCTGGCAGGTTCAAGCCTACATCCCTTGCCCAAAGCCCCTCTCCAGGCTTCTTGTCAACTCGTGTGTTCTGTTTGTGCTGGTTTATTTAATTTACACGTTGATCAAGTTTTTCCCACTCCAGCAGAGCCCTCGGGCTCCTTTTTGTGAGCACGGTGGCACACTGAGGGTGAGGAGGATGCACCTGGCTGAAAACATGCACCAAGACCCCAAAACAGCTCTTTTGGGGTTTTACACATTGGGTCATTCCTTGGGGCAGGCAGCGCAGCCTGATTTAGGGTGTTCTTGTACAGCCCCATCCTGGCAAAAGGATGCTTCAACCCCAGTCACATATTTGAGCTGTCTGGGGTCCCAGCCTGGTGATGAGCTCTACAGCATCAGTTTGCTCGAAGGGATCACCGGAATTCCTAACACCTAACCACTCTGTGATGTCTCTGGGATGCTGCAGGAGGCGAGGTACTCCGTTCTGCATTGCTCACCTACCCCTCAGCACATCCACTGGCAGCTGGGGAGAACTAAAGGCTCATTCCACTTAATTCACCAACAATTACTTCATCTCTCCCTATCCCGGGCTTCCTCCCGCCGGCTGGGTACTCACTGGCCTCACTCCTGGGGTCTGATGAATCCTCCCAAAGCCACAAGGTGGAGAAAAGAGTTTTCGGTTTGTGGCGTGTGTTAATTCGGGAGATAATGGCTGGAAACACCGGGAGCGGGTCTGGGCGCGCCGGAAAAACCTTTAGCCCAAGGAAAATGTTAATCTTGGGTTTTTTTTCCTTCCCTGGCTGTTGAGATCCGATGTTTTAAGGCAATTAGTGAGGGGTTATTTGTTAATCAGTCACAGTTCTATGCTTGCTTTGGGGTCTTGTCTCACGCTCTCAAGTGCACATCGCTTCTAATCATGAGCTTCACGTTTGATGTGGGATGTTCCTGTCCCAGGCTGGTTGTGCGTGCTGTGGTGCAGACACAGCTCAGGAACAGCTGCTGGATGCACCAGGATGTGGTGTGGGATGATGGTGGTACTGCCTTGCCCCTGCCTGGAGAGCCATGTCCACTGAAGGCTCCATCCTCAGCCCAAGCACATCCCAAGGTTTTGTGGTGTGTGGGACAGCCAGAGTCTGCCCAGGGTGGGATAATCACCCCCATCCCATGAGTGGGTGCAGGCACAGCCGGTGCCAGCTTCTGAAATGGTGATGGTGCAACAGTACTCCCGCCCTCTCCATGCTCTGGTGTTGGGGCTGGATGAACCATTCCCAAAACACATCACCCTCATGGCCCAGGGGCAAGGCCCCACCAGGGAACACTGCTCCAAGGCTGCACCAGCATCATTACAGCCCTACGAGCACTGGTCCAGCCTTGTGAGCATCACTTGAGAGCATTAGTCCAGCCCTGAGAGCATCAGTTCAGCCCTGAGAGCATCAGTCCAGCCCTGCAAGCATCAGCCCAATGCTGTGAGCACGGGTCCAGCCCTGCACCAGCATCAGACCAGCACCGTGACTGCTCCCTTGCCCACCCCACTGGCCCACAACCCAAAACCCCACCGGAGGAGGGTGAGGGCGATGCCTGGCCGGGGCTCTCCTCCCTGCCATCCTCATGGCGTGCGCTTTTAAGCGATGCACTTTACTGTCTACAATAATGATTTGTTGCTTGTAAACCCACTGTGATTAACTACAGTTTAGCCTCCTGGTTTCATGTCTTATCATGTTTCATCTCACACAAAAGACATTTACAGTCTATTTTCAACTTCAAAGCAAATGCTTCTTGCGTGAGCATTAAGGAAGGCAAATATTTAAGCAGAACCTGTATGGTATTAGCGTCTCTTGATGTTCCCTGCTGAGTGAGGATTGATGGCTGCCTCAAAAGGCAGGTTTTTCCTATTGTTTTATGCACCAGTGATTAATATTTCATGTTCCCACTGTTATACATTTGCTGGCTGGCACTGGCCTACCCTGACAGTGCTTTCTTCATGTCTTACATGTCCAGCTTTTATGCACTTCAATATAGGAAGTGTGACTCTTGGCAGGGTCCTTTGGTCTTATTGAAGCCTCCTGCTTGAGCTTTTTGAATGAGGTTCATCTTGATGGCGACAGGGCTGACGGCACGTTCTCCTTCTGCACTGATGTCTCTGTCCTGTGCTGTGCCCCGGCCCGGACCCCTTTTGTGCCCCAGCTTTCAGGTGGGTGCTGCAGGTCGTGCCACTGGGCTGGCACTCATCTGGATGGGGACGGTGGGGCTGGCACCATGGGGACCAGATCCTGCAAGAGGATGAGGCTGGATCCTGGGATTACTGATGAGATGGGGGGATATGGACCACGGTGAGATGCTGCTCCCGTCCCTGGTAGCTCCCTCTGCTCAGTGCCTATGCAGCGCTGGCATCACCCTGAACCCATCTCAGTGCCCCATCACCATCCAGCATCATCCATCCCACCCCAGTGGGGTTTCTGCTCCCCAGCACCAGTGGAAGAAGCACAGTGTTTGCACTGGACTTGCCAGCACTTCTGCACCACAGTCCCCAGAAAACCCATTGCGTTCCCAGCCAGCCTTGTCAGGGCAGGATGAAAATAGCCCAGGACCAAATTCCTCTGCTTTGAACACAATGACACACTGGTGTGCGCTCGTCTGAGCACTAAACACGTTAAGAGGAACTGTAAGGGCCGGCTCTGCTTATCATCCAGCTTGGAGTTAATCTAATTCAATTAGCATGAACGGTAAATATAGCTCGTTTTAATTTAGATGGAGAGGTTGCTGTGGCTTGATCCTTTCATTTCAGGAGCAGGGAAGCTGTGGGATGACTGCCAAGAGTTCCTGCAAACCCACATTATCCCCGAGGCCATGAGATCCGGGTGCTTGGTGAGCAGCACCCGGTGAGGAGCTGCCCGGAGCAGCCAGGAGGATGCAATGGTTGTGAACTGTTATTAGATGCCAAATAAAAGACTGGGAAGCCACCAGGAGGGTGCCTGTTTAAAGAGTCTATTTAAAGAGGACAAGATCAGCTTTGGAGAGAGGTTGGAGCCATGTGTCTTCAGGGCTGTGCTGCATTCCTGGGAGATGATGTGAAATGCGTGCATCTATCCTGCATCACAGTCTATCTTTGTTCCCCTCTGACGTCTTGAGTCGGGGCTGGTGTTTTATGGCCACGGCTGGGCCTGCCAGCAGCACGACAGCTCTGCTGGAAATTAACTCCTCTGTGCTTTAAAAACAGTCCCAAAGGCATAAAACTCAAAGTAAGAGATCAAACTAGTTAATCTAGCATGAATTTAAGCCTTTGGCTCTGGTGGGTAAAGCATCGAGGCTCTGATAGGGAGTAATGCAGGCAGGAGGTGCTGCTCCTCCCAGCCATGTCCTGTGTCCATCCATCCATCCATCCATCCATCCACTGGGGCATGGCACACTGCACAGTGCAGCTCCCTGCCATCTGCAATCCCAAATGCGATGCTTTCCATCCACCCATCCCGGATGGTGAGACAGGAATGGGGTGGGATGCTCTTTTCCTGGGAAGTCCAGCTCAAGGGAACAGGGTTTGTGGGTGCAAGTGTGCACAAGTGTGTGGTGAGGTCAGAGATGGGCCATGAAATGAAGCTCATGGAATACATCCTTCTGCGCTGGTGAGGCCAAGGGGAGCATGTTCCATCAATCCTGACATTGCCACATAGCTTAGATTGCACTTAATTAAAATAGCTCATTTAACTGATGGTTTCTAAGATGCAATACTGGAGATTGTCTCATTTTCCTGTCCAGCCCATGCACAGCAGCAGGATGGCAACAAGCAGGCACAGCCGATTTGGTGGGATACAGGGAAGACCGGTAAGACAGGCTGCCTGTGCTGCTCCAGCTTGGATGGGAGCAGGCAGAGAGGGATTGCGGGTTTGGTACCCAAAAAGGGTTGTCTGGTGCCAGGGATCTGAGCCTCCCTGTGTCCCAGCTCATCAATGAAGCAAGGTAGAGACCAGCATCCCCCATGGAGCTGGTCCAGGTTGTCCCATCGCTCCGTGCTTCTGCAGGATAGGAGCTGGAGGCTCTGCTGGTGCCACCGTTGAACTCAGACTCAGCCAGGCTTCCTGCTGTGCCTCCGAGGCAGGGACACCCCCTCCTCTATTGCATTGCAAACAGCTCTTTACCCACTTCTCAGGGTTCCCAAGGCCCACAGTGGGACTGGCTGCATCACCTCCCTGGCTTTTTAGAGCTCATTGTAATGAACAACGTGCCAAAAATCAGCCTCAGCTTGAGCAATGGGCAAATATGTTCTTTCCCAGCCCAGAAGCACCGGGCAGAGAAAGCTTGGCCCTGCTTGTCCTGTTGCTTTGCAGAGCTGGATGTGCCAGTTGAGGATGTGCCCGTATCACTGGCTCATGGACCTGTGTTGGAGCTGGGCATGAGCCTGGGGGTCCTGGCTACTGGGAGCCCTGCAGAAGTGGGGCACCAGGGATCTGACCCTGCCATCAAGGCTGCTGGGCAAGGCGGGTGGTGTGGGGAGGATGCTGATGGGCATGAGTTGCTCCACCTGGTTCAGGCATCGCCCAGAGTAGTGTTTAAAGGAGGGAGCAGCCAGTCCTGGCCTCTTTCAGGATGAGCTCAGCTGTAACTTGGGGTAGAGGCTGCTTGGGGGCCTCTGTCAATGCTGAGACCCCAAACCCCTCCAGGTAGAGAGCGCTGGAGTCAGCAGGAGCAAACCCTCTGCCCGATGGCCCTGTTTGGTGAGTGGATGCTCTGGTTGAACACAGCAAATCCCCAAGACCTGACTTAACGACCAGCTCTGAGCTACACCCCTATCCCGTGGTGGTTGTATTTCACTGCATTTCATCGTGTCTTTTAAAAACTGAACAATAGATGTCACAGAAATGCTGGTGTACAGGAGGGTGAAGTGCTGCTGTAGGGTGGGAGTTGCAGTGTGGAGCCCCCAGTTTGGGTGGTGGAACATGGGGGTGCTCCTCAGCGGGGCTGCTGCACCCCAAATACACCCACATCCCCCAGCAACCACCCTGTTTTGTGGGTGCACAACTCTTCCAGAGAGCTGTGAACCTGAGCAGGTCTTTGCTGGGCAACTTCACTACTGGAACTCGTGTCTGTCCCTGGTGGGCTCCATGTGGATGGTGATGGGGAGCTGGGGGCTTTGGAAGTGGGTGGATGCAGCTCTCGGCTGGGCTTCCCATGGGATGGAGGCTGCTGTGGGTCCTTCAGGCTCTCTGTGAGGTGGATTTCCCTGCAGAGCAGCGTGGTTGCTGCAGCCCAGCTTGCCCATGGGACACATTCCTGGGTTCTTGGAGTTGAAGGAGGCTCCTCACAAAGCTGCATCACTGCTGGGGCTCCTGTGCTGCATGGACAGGATGGAGCTGTTGTTCACTGTGGATTTTGGGGTGTTATTTTGCTCTTTGCCTTGTTCCAGTTTAGCCTGGGGGTGCTGTATTTGTAGGGGGGAAGAAAACCCCAGTGGCTGCATATTCCTGGGCTCCTGGAGGAGCATTCTGCGTGCTGCAGACCCCACTGCGCCGGGCTGGAGCGGGGCAGTCTCTCGTGGTGTTGGGGTTTACCCACGGGGGTGCATGCAGGATGGGTGAGGAAAAGCCTGGAGCACTTCTTGTTTCTGAGGGATTCACTGGGAGCTGGGTTTAAAGCAGGGGGAGCGAAAGACAGGCTGTGTTGTGTGCCAACACGTGCTGACGGGCGAGATGGATCGTGTCTTCAATTACAGCTGCTCACGTGTGCGAGCCGCCAAAATATGCAAGGCATTCCTTTAATTTCTCCATCGGAGGCTGGCTGGGATCCTGATGCTTATCAACCCCCTGGCTTTGGATGCGGGATCTGGGGAGGAAACGTTGCTCTTGTAGACAGCTTGTGTCAACCCAAGGCACGGCTTAAACCTTCAAAACTGGGCCTGAATTGAAGCTGTACGTGGGGCAGGATGGGGTTACCCAGTGTTGTGCAGGATCGGATTTTCTGCTTTGCGTAAGAGCCAGGGGGATATTTTGGATCCTGGTGTCCAAGGGGAGCTATGACCACCCTAAGCTTGGCCTCAGCCAGGCTGTGAGTGGCTCCTGATGCTTCCTGGGCTGTTCCCAGCATCCTGGCGCCAGGATCCTGCTCTCCCCAGGGAACTGCTGCAGACCCATCCTGGTGCCTACCAGGAGAGCTCTGGCTGGAAGGCTCCAGCCCATGAGAGAGGTTAAATGACTGCAAACCATAAAGGAGTCTGTAAAATTAGCTGGTAATTAGCAGTGCTGTAGAGTACAGTTGTGGTGCGCTGCTGCTCCTGCAGCGATGGGTGCATGTGCGACATGGGTTTGCTCCCGAGACATTTGCATTGCTTGTAGCCCAGAGCTACCACCTTGTCATTGCAAAATTAAGACAGAACAAGTGATTTGTTGCTATAAATGGTAAAAACAAATGGAAACACTCCCCAGCAGAGCTCTGTCAGGGAGGACATCCGCCTCCTGGTGCTGCGGTCTGCAGGAGGGGAAGGGATGCACACAGAGAGCGTGGCAATGGGCAGGACTGACACTGCTTGGTCCAGGTACTGGGGAAAAAAGGGTCCAGAGCCCCGGACCCTGCTCCATGTGTGGATCACAGCACATAGTGATGGATGGATGCAGGCTGGAACTGAGGCTGTGCGCAGTCTGGTGTCCCCTGCCGTGAGATCTATTGTCCCCTGCTGCTGCACTGAGGGATGGGCTGGCACAGCCCCCAGTAGAGGCTCACGCTGCTTCTGTGTTGCTGCTGGTGATGCTGGTTGGACACAGGTTATTTGCTGGTGAATTCTGGGGTTGGTGTTTTCCCTTTGCCCTGGGCTGGCAGCCGCTGAGGCGAGCAGAGCCGAGGACTGCAAAGCATTTGCCATAGAATCTGAAGAATTTGGAGTGAAACCCCCA